TATCTTAGACCTCAAATCCTGAACTCGTGTACGCCTCTGCTAGTAAGCAGTAGCTACAAGGTTTGACTACGCTCTGTTGCAGTGTTCATCCCTGGTTCTGTACATATTGAGGCATATTTTATAGGCAAAAAAATCAAATGAAAAGAGAGGAAATGTTACACAACATTCGGAGTGAGACAAAACCTCAATTACCTGTTGCCCTAATTATTCAAGGGACTTCGTGAAGTGGTTTCACTTAGCTTTACAACCTGGTTTAGCAATCGGCTAATTGAAGCCTTCATCTCATCGGGCACAACCAGCTGAGGAGGCACGGAGTCCATAGCATATAAAATGATTACGTTCAGAACATCACTAAGAATCAGTTTCTTGGTGTCGGTTTTCCACACATTCTGATTCACAAACTTGCACGATTGCTTCAAGGCACATTTACTACAAACCTGATAACAACAAAAAGGTAGAAAAATGAAAAAGAAAAGAACAAAAAAAAGAGCAAAACATTTCTATTCGATAGTAACAGTGAAATTAGTTTACACGATTCTGAAGAAGCTAATGGTGGATTTGACTTACAGTGTCTTCTTGAACTTGAAAAAATTTTCGAAGCCTTTTGGCAGCAAAAATACTCTTCTTGGCAAGGGAAGGGCATCCAATGAGTGCCACATTTTTCAATTCACTGCCTGACAGCCATCTGGTAATCAAGTTTAAAACATGAAAAAGAACAACAAATATGTACATGAATCTTAAAAACATTTTTACAAGAATCAAAGGATATTGAGACTAACTCAACCTAGCAAAATCGGCTTGTTAGGGGAGGATTGTGTTGAGTACCTAGCTCAATATCCAGCCAAACACTAATTCCACACACTCACACATAGAAATAGCGAGGAATTGAGAGGAAATCAGTGGAGATTTTATTAGATAACCAACTATAAGCATCCGAGTATAACCAACTATGAGCATCCGAGTACACTGAAATTGCAAAGGTAAACGATAGATCGGAGATTTTGAGCTCTCCGGCACTCCCACGCCAATATCCGGCAACAACACCTTACACACACATACAAAAATGGCTAGCTGCCCCCAAAGCCTAAGTTCCAGCACCTAATACCCCCTGAAAAGAATTGTCCACGTCAGCACTCCTAGCTACTTTCAGTATTTGCTCCCAGCCCTCTAACTCTATGTTTTCTTCCCCTTCTGCCCCTCCTAGTGTAAACATGCTACGGTAAGGGCCTAACAGTACCCCACCCTCAAGATCAACCTTGTCCCCAAGGTTGAAGTCGGGGAACTGTTGGTGGAGGGCGGCCAGGGGCTCCCATGTTGCCTCCCACTCCGGCAGTCCTTCCCATTGGACGAGCAAGTCCATGTCTTGTGGCCCTCCCCCTTGAGCCCGACGTGCACGCAAGATGGCTGTGGGCCGGACCAGAAGTTCGAGCTCCTCCGAGAGGTGTGGCGGTAGGGGGTGAGCGGCTGGCGAGTCTCCCCTGAATGCCTTAAGTTGAGAGACGTTGAACACCGGGTGGATGCGCACATCCTCCGGTAGCGTGAGATGGTAGGCCACACTTCCAATCTTTTCAACGACCATGAAGGGGCCATAGTAGCGTGGTGCTAACTTCTCGTTGAGCTTCCTTGCCAATGATTTCAGCCTGTAGGGCCGCAGCTTAAGAAGGACAAGATCTCCCTGCGTGAACTGAACGTCGCGGCGGTGAGCATCCGCAAACTTTTTCATGCTTTGTTGCGCCTTCTCTAGTTGTTCCTTGAGCTCATCCAACATAGCATTTCGAAGTCGCATCTGCTTGTCGACCTCAGCATCTAAGGAAGGGGTGTCTTGGAACCGGTATAACACCGGGGGGTTCCGGCCATAGACGATGCGGAAAGGGGTATGCTTAGTGGAAGCATTGTAGGTGGTGTTGAACCAATACTCCGCCCATGGAAGGAATTTCAGCCACAATTTCGGTTTCGCGCAAGCGAAGCACCGCAAATAAGTCTCTAAGCAACGGTTCACCACCTCGGTTTGGCCATCCGATTCAGGGTGGTAGGAGGAGCTAGTGTGTAGCTTGGTTCCTTGGAGCTTAAACAGCTCACGCCAAACGGAACTCATGAATATGGGATCACAGTCACTAACGATCGAGCGGGAAACCCCATGAGGCCGAACAACCGCTCGGGCAAATAACTCAGCCATTGATTTCGCCGAGAAAGGATGTGTAAGGGAGCAAAAATGGGCATACTTGGACAATCTATCAACCACCACAAGATGGTATCCCAGCCTTCTGACTTAGGCAGCCCACCGATGAAATCCATCAAAATATCCTCCCAAATTTGGTTCGGGACCAGGAGTGGTTGCAAGAGTCCCGCAAGAGTCATTGCTTTACTCTTGGCCTTTTGGCACATCACACAACAGGCCACATAATCCCGAATCTCTTCCTTCATTCCCGGCCAAAACAGGTTACTTGCCACTCTTTTGTAGGTGCGAAAAAAAACCCGAATGACCGCCCACCACTAAATCATGGAACTCATGCAACAAGCGAAGGATCCAAGGAGATGATCGAGGCAAGAACACCCTGTCCTTGTAAAGCAACAACCCCTCCTTCAAGCTAAACCCCTCATGTACTATTTCCCCGCCTTGCAACTTGGCTATCAACCCCGAAGACCACTCATCGGCTCGCTACCCCCGTCTCACATCCGCCAACTCCACCAAGTGTGGTACGGAAATGGCCGCTAAGTGCATGGTTTGCTCCTTTCCCCACCTGGACAAAGCATCCGCCACCCTATTTGAGGCCCTTGGTTTAAATTGGACCTCAAAATCATAGCCCAAAAGCTTTGTAACCTAACGTAACTGTTCCGGTGGAAGCATCCGTTGATCCATGAGAAACCGGAGACTTTGTTGGTCGGAGCGAACCACAAAGTGTTGGCCCAACAAGTAGTGGCGCCACTTCTGAATAGCAAACACCACCGCCATCAAGTCCCGCTCATATACCGACTTCATCCGGCTTGCCTCCGCGAGCGCTTTACTGAAGAAAGCGATAGGCCGGCCTTCCTGCATGAGAACCACCCTAAGTCCAACCCCCGACGCATCCGTTTCCACTACAAATGGCTTGGTGAAATCCGGCATAGCCAGCACCGGAAGTGTAATCATGGCTCCTTTAAGGACCGCGAAGGCTTGCGCCGCCGAATCATCCCATTCAAAACCTCCCTTCTTGAGCAAATTGGTAAGGGGACGTGCCAATTCCCCATAACCCCTAACAAAACGTCGGTAATAACCGGTGAGGCCTAAGAATCCACACACATCTCCCACATTCCGTGGTGCGGGCCAAGAAGTGATAGCCGTGACTTTGGAGGGGTCCACCACTACCCCTTCTCCTGAAATTATATGACCAAGGTACTCCACACTTGTCCGGCCAAAGACACACTTCTTCTTGTTGGCATAGAGCTTTTCTTTCTCCAAAATCTCCAACACCCTAGATAAATGCTCCCGATGCTCCTCCAAGTTTTTGCTATACACTAAAATATCATCAAAGAACACGAGGACAAATCAGTGAAGGTAAGGTCGAAATACCGAGTTCATAAGTGCTTGGAATGTCGCCGAGGCGTTAGTGAGGCCGAATGGCATCACCAAGAACTCATAATGGCCCTCGTGCGCCCGGAAGGCCGTCTTTTCAACATCACTCTCGAGGACCCGAATTTGATGGTACCCGGCCAGCAAGTCCAACTTCGAAAACACTTGTGCCCCGTGGAGCTCATCAAGAAGTTCGTCAATCACTGGAATGGGAAACTTATCCGGGACCGTCACCTGGTTCAAGGCCCGATAATCCACACAAAAGCGCGAACTACCATCCTTTTTTTTCACCAAGAGAACCGAACTCGAATACGGGCTACAACTAGGCCGAATGGTCCCCAAGGCTAACATGTCTGCCACCAAGCGCTCAATTTCCCCCTTCTAGAAATGTGGATAGCGACAGGGTTGAACGTTAGGGGGGTTCGCCCCCTCCTTCAGCACAATACGGTGATCTCGGGCTCTCTTTGGGGGCAGCCCCTTAACGTCCTCAAAAACTCCCCCAAACGCTGCCAACTCCCCTTGTAATTCCTTCGGTGTTGCTGTGGCAGCCCCTTCCATTCCCTCTCCCATAATTTCACAAACCTCTAGTAGCACCCCTACTTGGTGTGGCCCTAAAGATCGAGCCATCGAGCGCAAGCTTACCGGTGTGTAGCATATCAAAGGGTCTCCCGTCCAATTCACCCACTCATTCCCCCACCTTAAACTTCATAGTAAATCGGGACCAATCCGCCCTCACCTCTCCTAACTAACGCAACCAAGTCACTCCCAACACCACATCTGCACTTCCCAGCTCAAATGGGAAGAAATCCTCCACCACCCTAAAGCCTTGTATCTCCAATTCTACTCCCCGGCAAACCCCTTATTGTTTAATACTATAGAAAATCACAAAGGCAGGAACGAGAGAATTACTCTCTGATTCATCTTTTTCATCCCAGAGAAAATAACACATTTAAATAGAAAAGAAGAGCATACACGGGCCCTAGGATCCCTTATAATCAGGGATTTTATTCTATTACTTTATTCTTTCCTACTAACCGTAGGATCCCTTATAATCAGGGATTTTATTCTATTACTTTATTCTTTCCTAATTCATTCAAAAATCAAATCCTAACCTAACATTCCTAATTTACCGACACTCCCCCTCAAGTTGGTGCAAAGATATCCATCATGCCCAACTTGCTCACTTGAAATTCGAATGGCTGTCTCACCAGACCCTTAGTCAGAACGCCTGCAACTTGCTGTGTGGTGGGTACAAATGGAGTACAAATTATTCCTTCTTTTCTTTTATAAAGTGTCTATCAATCTCAACATGTTTCGTCCTGTCATGTAGAACTGGATTATGAGCAATACTGATGGCCGCTTTGTTGTCACAATACAACTTCATAGGAAAACTTATTAGTCTCTTAAGCTCTTCCAAAACACTTTTTAGCCAAAGAACCTCACATACTCCTTAAGCCATTGATCTGAATTCTGCCTCAGCCCTACTTCTAGCGACTACACTTTGCTTCTTGCTTCTCCAAGTGACTAAATTGCCCCATAGAAATGTACGGTAGCCTGATGTTGACCTTCTATCAATGATCGAACCTGCCCAATCAGCATCTGTATACACCTCAATTCCTCTCCTCATTTTTCTTGAAGAAGAGTCCTTTTTCGGGTGTGCTTTTCAGATAACGAAGAATTCGAAACACAGCTTCCAGATGTTCTTCATATGGGGAATGCATAAACTGACTTACCATGCTCACAGCGAAAGCGATGTCAGGACGTGTATGTGACAAGTAGATTAATCTTCCAACCAATCTTTGGTATCTCCCTGTGCCTACTGGAACACCATCTTTTACATCTCCAAGTTTAGCATTAGTTTCTATTGGAGTATCCGAAGGTTTGCAACCACTCATTCCAGTTTCTCTCAAAAATTTAGAATATACTTCCGCTGCGACACCACAATGCCCCTTTTTGATCTTGCCACTTCCATTCCAAGTAAGTATTTTAGTTGGCCTAGATCTTTAATCTCAAATTCCTTGGCTAGGCTCTGCTTCAGTCTAATCATCTTCTAAATCATCTCCAGTCAGAATTATATCATCCACATAGACAATCAAGATAGACACCTTGTCTTTGGTAGATTTCTTTGTAAAGAGAGTGTGATCCGATTGTCCCTGTGTATATCCTTGGTTCTTAACAAACTTTGTAAATCTCTCAAACCAAGCTCTGGGAGACTGTTTAAGACCATATAGAGACCTCTTTAGTTTGCACACCTTGGTTCCAAACTTCTCAGTAAAGCCTGGTGGAGGTTCCATATAGACTTCTTCCTCTAAGTCTCCATTCAAAAAGGCATTCTTCACATCCAGTTGATTCAGAGGCCAATCAAGATTAGCAGCAATAGACAAGAGTACCCGAACTGTATTTAGCTTTGCCACTGGAGAAAAGTCTCTGAGTAGTCCACTCCATATGTCTGAGTGAAGCCTTTAGCCACAAGGTGAGCCTTGTATCTTTCCAAAGATCCATCTGAGTTGTACTTCACGGTAAATACCCATTTACAGCCAACAACTGTCTTCTCATCTGGCAGATCCACTTTCTCCCAAGTAGCATTGTTCTCTAGAGTTCTCATGTCCTCAAGGATCGCTTCTTTCCACTCAGGAACATTTAGAGCCTCCTGGACACTATTAGGAATAACCACACTTGACACTTGTGAGATAAAGGCACGATATGAGGGTGAAATACTTTTGTAAGACACAAAATTTGACAACGGATGTTTTGTACAAGACCTAACACTTTTCCTAAGAGCAATGGGAAGATCAAGCTGACTAGAATGGTTTGACTCAGAATTACCTGGAGGATTATAAACAAGTACTATTGAAGAGTCATAATGAATTTCATGATCTAACCTCTGATTAGACTCTTGGTGGTGCTACGAGATATGGCCTCTTCTTTTCTGCGCTTGGTACTCCTTTGAATAAACAAGACCTTTAAACCGTTTCGCACACATCTCTGTTGTTTCAGTATTTTGATTCTAAGATGGTATTACCATAGGTTGTTCATTGGTAGATTCAATATTTTCAACATTTAATTCATTTGTTTCCACTGACTTTGTATTTTCCATTGACTTTGTATTTTCCATACCATTCTCTTTGGGTAATTGTTTGTGGGAAACATCATCTTGAGTAAACTCAAACATTGAACCATTTAGAAAATCATCTTCACTAGTGTTCTCCCCCTGAAGATGGGAATTGCTGTAGTAGGATTGTCCTTCAAAAAATGTGACATCCATAGAAACAAACATTTTTTTGGAAACCGGGTCAAAACATTTATACCCTCTCTGATTTGTAGGATAGCCTACAAAAATACACTTATGTGCTTTTGGATCAAGCTTAGAACGTCTAGGATCATGATTATGAACAAAAGCCACACTTCTAAAAATTTTTAAGGGAATATCTGTTGTTAGTTGAGTGGTGGGAAAACATTCAGTGAAAACCTTAATTGGTGTTTTAAAGTTCAAAATTCTTGTAGGCAGCCTATTAATCAAATAAGTGGCTGTTAAAACTGCTTCTCCCCAAAGGTACTTAGGAACCTTAGTTTTAAAACGTATAGCTCTAACAACTTCAAGGAGATGTCTTTTTTTCCTTTCAGCCAGCCACCCCGTTCTATTGAGGTGTATTATTACAAGAACTTTGGTGTACAATCCCTTTTCCGGCAAAAAAATTCCCTAACACATTGTTAAAAAATTCTTTTCCATTATCACTTTGAAAAATTTTAATCTGAGTCTGAAATTGTGTTTGAACCATATTATAAAAATTTTTAAACACGGTTTCAGCACGGATTTTTCTTTTAAAAGGAAGACCCAAGTGACTCTAGTGTGATCATCAATAAAAGTAACAAACCAGCGTTTTTCAAAAAAGGTTAGCACTCTAGAAGGACCCCAAATATCACTATGAATCATGGTAAATGGTTTTGATTTTTTATATGGTTGAGATGGAAAAACAGCACGATGATGTTTTGCTAATTCACAAGATTCGCATCGAAAAACAGAAGGATTTTTATTCATGAATAACTTGGGTAACAAATGCTTTAAATATTGAACTTTTAGATGTCCTAATCAATAATGCCATAACATAATCTTACTGCCACTAGAAATAGAAATAGAATTGAAACATGTCTGCTGATCTTGTCTTCCAAAAGTAGATCCATTATTGAAGAGGTAGGAGATCGCTATCCAGTTTAGCACCCCCAATCATCTTCCCCGAGGTTAAATCCTGAAATTCACAATGAGAAGACCAAAAATTAACTTGACAATTATGATCAAGAGTCAATTTACTGATACACAAGAGGTTATATGACAAATGGGGAACATGAAGAACATACTTAAGAATTAGAGAAGGGGAAATGTAACTGTTCCTTTCCTAGCAACAGTAGCAAAGGAGCCATCTGCAATTTTAACTCTTTGTTTCCCTGCACAAGGTGTATATGAAGAAAAGAATTGCGAAGTACCGATCATATGATCGGTAGCACCTGAATCTAATATCCAGGAGCCATTATACTTGGTACACGCAATGGCTGCAATGAAAGAGTTACCTGCTTGTGCTAGAGAACAAGATGAGTTAGAATTTCTTAAAGATTGGGACTGAAACATTTTATGTAGGTGCTCTATCTGTTCCTTTGAAAAGGAAAGGGCGCTGATGGAGATTCCTGCTCTGGATCCGTGCGGTTTGCTTGGAATGCGCGGACATCTCCCCCTGACTTGGTGTCACTGCCGGGTCTTTTCTTCCAGTTTGCTGGTTTCCCGTGTAGTTTCCAACAATTCTCCCGAGTATGCCACGCCTTCCTACAATGGTCACACCAAGGCCTCTGCTTACCTCCACGCATGTCTCCTTCTGAATGCGTGCCTCGAACCACAAGGGCAGATCCCTCACCATCTATTTTTGGTTCGTCGATGTTCTTCAACATCACTTGCCGCCGTGCTTCTTCTCTACGCACTTCTGCAAACACTTCTCTTACGTTGGCAAGGGTCTTTTCCCTAATATATGTCCTCGAACCTCATCAAGTTCTTTATTCAAACCAGCCAAGAACACAAATACCCAGCCTCTCTCAATCTTCTTTTTGTACCGAGCACTGTCATTCGAATTTTCCCATTGTTCATCTTCAAACATATCTAATTCCTGCCAAACTGTCATCATATCATTATAGTAGGCTGTTACGTCACAGTCACCCTGTTGCATCTTCCACATTCGAATGTTTAATTCGAACAATTGTGAGTGGTTGTCCAAATCGGAATAAGTTTCCCGGACTGCCTCCCAGACATCACGGGCCGTCGGCAAGACATGAAGGGCTTTCCAACAACGGGGTCCATCGAGTTGATTAGCCAGGCAGTCACCATGGAATTTTCTGAACGCCACTGCCTGTATTTTGGATCATTGGTGGCGGGCGGTTTTACTTCGCCATTCAAGCGCTCGAGTTTCCATTTGCCGTCGATCACCAGACGTACAGATTGAGACCACTCAAGTTAATTCTTTCCATTCAATTTGTGAATGGTGACTTGAAGGGAATGCTCAGAGAAAGAAACGGCCAGAATTGGTTGTGAAACTGCCTCTGATGAAGTCGTACCACTGGTGGCATCTGAAGTGGTTGAACCAGAGCCAACCATGGCGGCTTTAAAATTCATCATCGAGCCCTAGGCTCTGATACCATGTAGAAAATCACAGGGGCAGGAAAGAGAGAATTACTCTCTGATTCATCTTCTTCATTCCAGAGAAAATAACACATATTTAAATAGAAAAGAAGAGCATACACGGCTAACCCTAGGACCCTTTATAATCAGGGATTTTATTCTATTACTTGATTCTTTCCTAATTCATTCGAAAATCAAATCCTAACTTAACATTCCTGATTTACCAACAAATACACATCCTATTTCCCATCTGCAGCACTCCACATCTAACTGTTGGATCACAAGGCAGCCCCAACTCCTTGACCATCGAATTTGACACCAAAACTGTGAGAAGCGCCACTATCCACCAACACTACTACCTCCCTCGATCCTAACCTTCCCACGACTTTCATGGTGCCAGCCGAGTTCACTCCCATTAAGGAGTTAAGAGAGAGATCAACCTTTTCTTCCGTTGGCTCCTCATCGGAGCCATTCTCTACCTTGCCATCTCCTTCCTTTTCCGTATCGTCCTCGGTTGCCAACAAAATCTGGAGTTGTTTATTCTTGCAACAATGGCCGGGGCTAAACTTCTCATTGCACTTAAAGCAAAGCCCTTGTGCTCGGCCTTGTTGCATCTCCTCCTCCGATAGCCGGCGATATCCTCCCGTTCCCCCAACCACTGGACTAGTAGCCCCCAATGAGGACGAATGCCCCCTTCCCACATCTCCCCCTTCACGACCGGAATTGGATCGAAGGGAGCTCCCCGGAAATGTGCGCCGGTTAGTGGTGCTATCATTAAACGAGTAAGATCTTCCCAAACCACAAATCCGTCCGCTTTTCCACCTTCCCATCCTCTCTACTGTCCCGTTCCAATCCTCGATTTGTTGCGCGATTTCCATTACTTATTGGAGTGTGGCCGGCTTATGCATTTTCACCTCCGCTCTAACATCCTCTCTCAACCCGTTAAGACCCCTTTATAGAATGCACTTGGCATCCCCCTCACCGGAGCCGAAAGCAACTCGAATCGGTCCAAATAATCCACAACTGAGCCAACTTGTTTCAAAGCCATCAATCTCTCCATTGGGTCGCCTTCCTTGGCCCTACTAAACCGTTTCAAAATGGCTGCCTTCAACTCCCTCCATCCTACAAAAGGGTCTTGGGAATCTGTCCACCGGAACCAATTCAAAGCCCGACCCTCCATGCACATCAAAGCAGCCACCACCTCGTCCCGCTCCGCCACCTCGCACATGTCAAAAT